TACTAATAGAGTGTTAATATTGTAATAGGGCTGTATTGAAAGATTAAATGTTCATATATATAAGGTATATTAAAAGGTGACCAGAGCAGTTCAAATGGTTGTCAAAAAATAATGTACGTAAACAAATTTGCACTAGATTGACACCGAATCGAGCAATCTTTATAATAGTTTGATTGAATTCACTTCATAAAGTTGATTTTAAAAAACGGAATGAATATCAAAATCTTGAAATTGCTGTCTCATTTCCATTAGTCATGGTGCCTTCTTATTCCTTTTTTAATTCAACTTCTTTTTTCCCTGATTGTCAGTGATGTGTAAAAATATACAGTTTACAGAGGTACAGAAATTAGAAATTAAGAACATTTGGTATGGCTTACTCATAGGAGGGGTCCATAAAATATGGATATGCGTTTCTCAAATTTTTATGGTCATAGTAGAATATCAAAAAGTATGCTTGTATGATATGATAAAAACATCTCGAACTAGAGATTTGTAACTTTCGCGCGGCGATAGTTTTAGAAATCAATTTCGGGATGCCATGAACCCTTTAAAATATTCTGGAGAGTACCTGTAAAAGAATTCATGAATATAACGGTGCAAGTTTTGTTGAGCACCGCCTTTAAACACCGCTCTTTCGAGGCTCCAGAACCGAGAAAAAGTTTTTAGAAAGACTTCAAGAATTATAAATATACGACCTATCAGTGAAGTGTTTTTACGACTCGTTTTTCAAACTTTGTATTTTCTTCTTGCATTTGCCTATAGTAATAAAATATTTCGTGGTAAGTGGGTAAATAAAATCAAATAGAAATGGTCAAATTACGGTTTTGTGTGTAATAATGTGATATATCCGTTTCCGCTTTTATTTTATTATTATTTTTATTTTTTAATAGAATTTCCGGACATTTTCTGTTTTTAATGTGTAATTTACACTCAATCGAAATTCACTAAACATACAAATGTAAAAAGCACTTTCGTACAATGTGAAATGTAAAATTTATATGGAGTAAACATGAGTGTGCATTATGCAAATAGATGATATATGAATGTGTTTTTTACTATAATACGTTCCGCAATCCAGTATAAATTAACAGTTACCAATTACAGAAATTTTATATGTGCACATCATTCCAAAGGGTTTAATTATTTTGTATAATGATTGTTGTGTTCATGATTTTCTGACATGAATTGGGTGTTTTTCCATTTTGTTGTTTTTCCTTGCCGTTGGTTTATTTTTTTTTGCTTTTTAGAATACGATCGATTGAATAATGAATTGAAGGATTTAGGACAAAGTTAAATGACATGGTAATTGTTGAACTAAAGTAAAAAAAAATTTTTTTTAAATGTGAAGGATTGTTAAAATTACAAGAAGTTTTTTTTTTTTTAATTTCGTTGCTGGTAAATTGAACAGAAAAAAAAGTTAAGAGAATGAATAAAAAAAATTTATCAAATTAAGTGAAATTTTAGTTCCACTCTTACGAATTTTACGATAACGCTTTAATTAAATGTATACAGGCTCGACCAAATTCGTACTTTTGTTATGAAGGAAATTTGTCTTCCCAAAGAGCGTTACAGTCGTTAAGGGGAGAAATGTAAGTAGAGAGTCAAAAAATTTATGTGAAAAAAAATTAATCGAATTTATGTTGTTTAATTTTATGACTCTTCGAAACAAGACTGTAATTGCTCTGTTTTTGATTAGGGTTATAAGCTTAGGTTCAATGGAATACTAATTTGAAAAATACACTGGACGTGATTTAACCTGTTCAGTTTCATTAAATAAATCTCATTAGTTAATGAAATGTTGAAGGACACTGCGTTGCAAAATTAAAATTATCAATTTTTTACCGGTAATTTTAGTAAGGCTGTAATTAATTGCGTCTCTAATTTACAATTTATAAAGAACTTTTTCCAAAAGGCTTATATTAAAGATGTTTTCACACCAAAGGCGATAATTTTGTACTCTTGTGGCAAAATCGTCTCCACAAATAAGAGTTCTTTGATTTTTTTTTAAAATTTTGATTAAATGAATTTCGTCTGCTAATTTCAAAGTAAGACACCATTCCAAATTAATTTTTATTTTGAAATTGCATTTTTGTGCTGTAACTTGAATCAATACCCTGCTCTTAACACTCATAATTTTATTAATATTTATACCCACATGGACGTATGCCCGAAGGGTATACTAAATTTGCCATACCGTTTGTAGACTCAAGTATGTGTTTCTGATCATCGTCGAATTCTGAGCAGATTTAGCTTTGTCTGCCCGTCTGTCCGTCCCAACGATAACTCAAAAACTAATTGAGCTAAGTTCACCAAATTTGGTATTGACATTTCGCACAAGCCATTGTGTTTGATAAAAGTCGTTCAAATTGTTTGGCTCCTTCTGGTAGCTGCGATACAACTTCAATAGTAGTTTGGCCACATCTTAGAAAATATTGAAAATCATCACAAAACTGAAATTTTGTATAAATTATTATGGCAACTTAAAGTTATAGTCTGTCCAAGTTATGACATATTTATTCGCATATAGGATAGCAAATTCGTACGGGTATCACAGAGTTGACATGGTCAACTCTATTTTTTTTTCGTTTTATAATCAAATTGTAGTTTTGTTGAAATTTGTGTTTTCCGTTTTATTTTGTATTACTTACAAAACTGTGAACCCTTCTTAATCATATAGGTGCTTATGAATTTTAAAGTTATTCTAATATTTTCTAAAACAAATTTCAAAATGATAAATGAATATAATTTTTACCTGTGATCTTATACATTTTATATCACTCTTTTTTTTTTATTTTCAGGTAAAAGAAATCAGGATCCTACCTATGTACGTAACTATAAAGGAATTATATTGGAAAATAAATTACGATGAAATGAAAATAAAACTATACCATAATAATAATAACGTGTTTACTAGGGGGGTTTTTTTTTATATACAAAATAAAATCTAAGTGTTTTCTTGAGGCAACTTAAGGCGAAAATAGTCATAAATTTTTTTTGCTTGCCTTTTTTTTTTTTTGTAAATGCATATGATTGTGTATGAATATGTATTATTATTTTTTAAAATGAATAAACATTAAAAAAGGATGTCATAAATTTATTTATGAAGAACGAAAGTTAAAAGAAAAAACGAGAAAAAAAATTGTTATTACAAAAGTTTTGCAGAAAAAAAAAAGAATTCAGTAAAAAACTTGATACTCTTCTAAAAAAAAAAATGAAAGAAAATTACAGAAAGAAGAGAAAAATATGAATAAAAAATTCAAAAAGAAAAGGATTTTAAAGGATATTATGGTTATATGAAAATATAAAAAAAATCTAATAGAGGTAACTATAAAAATAATCTATAAAAATCTAACGGAACAATATTGTTTTTTTATTCTCTCCTTTTTTCTTCTTCATTTTAATATAAGGAATAAATTATTTAAAAAAAATATTTAGAAATATTAAAAAAAATAAGTACCTATGTATTAAATTGCATATATACAGGCGAACACATTTTTTAATGTTTATCCTATAATAATCAATATGGTGAATAAGGAATAAAATGGTTTTATGCTCTTCTAAAATTTTGTTCTTTGTTAAAATTATTGGGATTTCAAGTTTTTTTTTAAAAAATACCCAAACTGTATTTTTTATAACATCTTGAAGATTATAAAAGAATATTTTTATTTAAAAATTATTTAAATTTATAACACGAGCTGTTAAATCGGAGAGCTACTTTTGAATAAAACTTATTTTATTAAAAAATTAGTTACGTGAATCATTCTAAAAATCATACGAAATAAACATGAACTCCAATTTATTTGTCTTTCAGAAAATTGAGACTTTATGAACTATAGTTAAAGCAATTTTACGCTTCCTATAATTAAACAATTTCAACATAAATTTTAGTTTGCTATTCTTAAAATCATGTTTAAACAATAGAAATTTTAGTTGTCCTAAATAACAATAAATTTTAGCTAACTTTTATATAAAATAAATTTTGAATTTTGGCCGAATTCGGAAAATATTTTCAATAATAAATTTGCTTCTAATTGCAAATTGACACACTATGGTTAACATCAATCTTGGAATAATGTAATCGGCTCGAATAGAGCTATGTATAAGTACAATTTAATATTTGTGATATGACACCAAAAGCATAAGATTATCTGTCTGTCAAATGAAGCAAAATTTTGTTACAGAACAAGCTATTACAATTTTCGTACTACGAACAAAGCTGAATATTTTAAAATCAAAATTGCTCAATTGTATTTAAGGCGGTCGATTGAAATCAAAGTTCCAGTCAATTCTTTTTTTGAATTTTTTTCAATCAAAATTCTACTTCGTTATGTATTCACTCTTAATTTCTTTCCTTGTTACAATCATTCCTCACACACATTGCAAATCAAGTACAAATCAATATGGAAGTGAAATATCTGGTTTATCTAACCTAAAATTCGAATATAATAAAGTACTTATCAAAAAGAATTATTTAGCATTAAAATTTTATACTTTTGTAAGATTTTCTTAGAAAATTTCAAAATTATTGCATAAGGGCTTAAAACTAGAATTATTATTATTTTACTTGAATATTATTTTCTAATTTTTTTATCTCATAAATAAAATCTATTATACTTGTACGACATTTTCAATTCTTTTCACATTTAATAAATAATTTTTAATATTATTTAAATTTACATCTTATATCTTTTTGAATATAACAAAATAAATTGAATTGGTTACAAATAAAATTTACAATGATTTATTAAAAAATATACAAAAAATATTTATTAAAAATTTAAAATATAAAAAATTCTTAAAAAATAAAAAATGAAAATTTTTATTTCAATTGGAATTCTTCTTGGTTTCTTTGCATATTAAAAAATATTATAAATATTTTATTTAAATTTTATTTTTTTTTTAATTGTGAAGTGATTTTAAATTTTTTTTTTACAATATACCAAATGTTCAAGTGAAATTTTATGTAAAAATAAAATAAAATAAAAAAATAATCACAACATTACAACATTGTAAGCATTATGTGTAACATACTAACAATTCATTCATAATAACATTTTGTAATGTTACTATAAAAGAAAAATGTTAAAATATAAAATTTACATGCATTGTCGTACATCGATAATTGCTGTATGGGAATAATATTAAAAACCAGAAAAAACATTAATGTGTTAGTTACTAAACTTGTACAAAAAATAAAAATATTGAGGATAAGAAAATTAAAATTTTCAAAATTGTTATGAGATGTTAAGACTGGAATACATTTTCATTTTAATATTTGGATTTTCATTTTATCAAGTTACTGAAACAGGTGAGAAATAATTTTATTTATAAGTAATTACAATTTACATTATTAAAATTTTTACATTATTGTTTTAGTATTTTTTATAGAACAGAAAAATAATTTTAAAAAATTAATTAAAATTAAAAATACTCAATTTATAAATAAATCATTTTGGTCAATCTAAATTGAAAAGGAAATTATGAACTTATAGATAATGACTGAATAGAACAGATAAGTCTGTTATTTTGGAAACAAGGCCAAAACATCAGAATTAGTACGTTATTCTAACATTCTAATTGTGCCGAGTTGACCAAATTTTGAAAATTTAACCCCTTGAGTGGAAATAACGAGTCTCGCCCGTCAAAATTTTCTGTATTAAATTTGAATTTGACGGACGTCGCCCGCAGTTGATGTTTAAAATCATATGATTTTCTTTAAACTTGTAAAAATAAAAATATTATTGTTGCACATGGTCTTTTTTATATTCTAGCTAAATTGACCTTAACATAGATAACAGTTTTTGATTAAATAAATACAAAAATACTTAAGTTTTAATTTATGATAATTCCACTCATAGAATTGCGCTAAATTTAATTGATTGCACGCGCACTATTCTTCGGGATTTAATCGTAAGGCAAGGGGTTAATGAGATTGTACCAAGATCCAATGGTACAAATCCAAAGGAAGTACCGTTGGAATTTCAAAGTTTTCTACTTTCATAGGAAAGTGGAAATTTTTTTTAAATGAACCTAAGTAGAATTTTATTATTAAAAAATATATTGGAACCAAATATAATGACGTTATAAATAAGTGTAGTGACGTCACACAAAATTTGTCTGTCCCAAGCAGTATTCATTTTAAATTCCACCAAATTTTCCGTTTTTTCACAAATTATCCATTCTTATTTCAGAAAGTTTTATCCATAACCTTTTCATATTAAATTTCCCGTAGTTATTGTTACATATATTCTGGCAATGATTCCCAAGATTACACCAGAGTTTTTCACATTTGGTACGAATTCCAAAGGAAAATCCTTGTCGCATTTTAACTTAATTTTTCCCAAGATTTTTTTAAATATCTCCAAAAATATTTTTGTTACAGCCTATTATCATATGCTGACAAAATCTGTGAATACCCACTGATCACAAAAAACACTTAGAATCACTCTATATCTCTTCTAGTTCTAAATCAATATTTTATAAATAATGAAAATTGAATCAAAATTAAAATAAGATGTGTAATTATTTTCTGTCAGTTTTAAATTATTTAAAGTATAAAATTTTCTTGAGGGGAAAAAAATGCTGTTAATTGGGAAGCAATGCATAAAAAAAATTATATTTAACCAATTGACCCACCGTCTAGAAAAACAATTTACAAACTCTTAAAAGAAGAAATAATTTTTGCGATAAATAATATTGTACAAGTATCCATTATGCTTCTATACAATATATAGAACTTTTATAAGAGTTTTAAGAATGAAGCTAGATTTCTATAGATGAAAATTTTATGGTATAGTTTATTAATTTTAATCATAGATTATCCCATGCATTAGATAATTTATAAGTTTTATAATTAAAATTTATATAATTTCTGTTATGATTTTTTTTTTTTGAGAAACCCCTATAATGAAATAGATTTCATTTTCTTCCCCTATTTTATCTATTACGGTATTATTAATTCGATTAAATAGAGCAGAAAGAAAACAAGATTTATAAAGATTTTATATTTAAGAGTAAAAAATTAAAATTAAAAAATATTTTCAATATTTTCTTAATAAAAAAATCAATTTGAAGTAATTAATTTTTAGAATAAGATTTAGAAAAAAATCAGACTATAATATCAGACTACACTATACTTGAAAAACATTTTTGAAATCTGGGAATTGGAAATATTTTTAAGCAATCGGAAATTAGTACATGAAAATTTGAGCTAATGTGCATAATCTATGGTGAAATTTATTAAGAGCAATGCGTCGAAGAGTGAAGAGCATTAAACCTGTACTTAATGCTACTACTTAATCAGGGAGTCTGGTAGTTTACTTATGATGAATGCATACAATGCTATTTCAGCATAGGTTACCTCCATTCACGCAATACTATTGTGTTAATATAGCCCAGTTTATATAATTCAGTCTCAAGCCCATACAATAATTGTTAAAATCTTTATTTGAAACAGGGTGGTATTCGGATCTTTCTGATCTATTATACTTAAAACAATACAAACATTTTTTTTTCACTTGCGGTAATAAAATTTTTTATTCAATTGTTTCAGAATTGCTGTTTTTAATTTTATAATTTAAAAGTATATTATTAAATTAAGATAAAATTTAATTATTTTTGTTTTTCATTCTACATCTTTTATATTCATTTTATATTTTAGAGTGCCTACTATTTTATTTTTCCAAAAAAAGTTTTAAGTACTCTTATACCTATCTGTCTTCTGAATACAATTTTTGACCTGAATATTCTTTCAAGGATTATAGAAGAAAGAAAGTAAAACTTCGCGAAAAAACACACACTAATGAAGCAAGCGAAAAATTCTTTAACCTTCCTTAAAACCTTAAAAGTATTTTGAATCAAAAATTATTCCTTAAAGCGTAATATCAAAAAATGATGTTTTCCCTCAAGGTTTTTTTTTTTTTAAATAATCGATTCATAATTTTTCCCGAGAAATTTTTCTGATATTTTTGAAAAAAAAAAGAGAAAAACAACTTTTAAAAAACAGCAATTGAAATTTAAAATATGAAATTTTCTTTTATTTTTTTTTTGTTATTGTTTGGTTTTATTTGGAAAATATTTTAACTATGACTGTACCTAGAACCTACATTAGAATATTTTCCCTTGAAGACGAACACATTAAAAAATATTTTTTTTTTCGTTTTCTTTTACTTAAACTTCTTCTTCAGTAGAGTTCGCATCTTCTGTTTAAAAAAAAGGAAATCAAACTTTATTACTTATTTGCTAGCACTTTTCCAAAGATATTAAAAAAAACTTGCTTATTTTACACTTTGCTCGCCCGTCAGTTTATCCGTGTGTCCGAAGGAAATTTAAACCCATCTCTCCCTCTCAAAAAATTATAGCCAGGCTAAGCCCTATATTTTGGCTATTATTTTATTGTAACGAAACCACGAAAAATTTTTTTGAATTTTTTAAAATGCTGAAAAGTTGTGAAAGGCTTATCCACCGCGGCATAGCATAGCTTACTTTTAACAAAACGAAATGGCTGTTGAAATTAACTGCTATCCGTTTTTTTTCAAATTTTTGATATCGCTTTTCTCCTAGTCTAAAATTTTAGCAGCTATTAGATTCTAACAAACAATTTTTTTCGTTAGAAGAAAAATTTTTTTTTGGCCCCTTATATTTCCGAAACTGTGAGCTTTTTAAAATTCCTATAAATACCGAAAACTGAAGGTAAGTGTCATGCCGTCATAAAATATAATTATTTTTTTAGCTCACGTAATTTTTTTTTTGCCTCATCCTGAATGTATGCAATCTTTTAAAATATTTTGGTATTTTATTGAAAGTAATTTAAATAATGTACTGTTGAATGGAAAAGTGCTTCCACACAACTCTCTCATTTGGCCTAACTATTTTTTAATCTGTAATGACAAAACATATGAAAATATCCTTGGTACTTTTGTCTTCTCTTTTTTGTTTCAAAAATGTCCTACTTTTTACTGACTTTACTTTAACTACTTGTATAAAATGCAATTTTGATTTTTTCATAGGAATTTATTTTTGGTATTGTTAGAGGAAAAAAAAATATTTCGTTATCATTTTGTAACAGAAAGCCAAATACCAATTGTTTTCATTACTATCATAACAGCTCGGAAAATCTTTTCTGAACAGATTCTCTTAAAGAAATGAACGGGTTGTTCTTTATGAAGTTTTCCAAATATCAGAAATTTTATTCAAAAATTCTAGATCCGTGATATTATTAAAACAAACTAATGAGTGCATTTAAATGTATGTAAATAAATTTTGAAAAGAATTCTAATTTTTTATTGAATCAATTAAAACATTGGTTTGAATCTAATTTATTCGGAATTTCTAAAATTAAAATGAGTAGCCATATGTACTCGTATACTTATTTGAAATTCAAATATAATCATAGAAATGCAATTGGAATTCAAAGGTACACAGCTAGCTAATCATAGAAATAAATTTTCATTTTCTTGCCGTAGGGAATATTTTACTCTCAAATGTTACAAGATTCTAGATTATGACTCTCTTCAATGTTTTTAATTTAACTGCATTTTTATATGGAAATTTCACCGATACCGTACTTTCGGGAATACTATTAACAAAAGTATTCCCGATAATATTAATATTAAAATTTTATGGCACAAAATCATGTTCCAGATTAACTTCCAAAGTTGCTTAATACATTTTACCTTTAATTCCAAAGTAGTTGTTTGTATTCCAGATGCAGTACAACACTTTATAACTGTTTCTGCTTTTTACTAGGTATGAAATTAAAGTTAATTTAAGAATATTGTGTGCGTTTCAAATAAAATTTATTTTGAATTGTGAAAAATTTTACTTTATACCAACGTCGAATTGATAAATTACCTAGAAAAGCAAAAAACAACAAATATAAAACAGACTAAAAAATGGAGAAAAAAAATAGATTTTAACTATACCTCTAGCGATGATAACGTAATATTTCACTTGACAATTGTTTGAATGGAATGAGACAAAATAAGTACACCTATAAATGTTTTTTTCGGTTGTTGATGTTGTTTTATTTCTTTTGCTGGATCATCTTTTATAACTTGTTTTTTGGTTTCGTATATCATGATTTAGAGATGAAAAAATTAAATTCATTTGGAAAGCACATAATCGATTGTAATGACTATTTTCTGAATAACATTCACAGATACTAAGTAAATTGACACAAAATAATAAATAACTGTTACTTTCTAATTAGCGTATACCTCCAAAAATATAATTCTAGTTCTTAGTGTAGGAGTTCATTTTCGGTGATCCGGATTCTTTACTTGCAGAACTAGCAAGTAATAATTTTCC